GTCCGGGTTATGTTATTGGACTTATTGGTATATTCGGACGGGGTCCCGAGTGGCTCAGATGCGTTTTAGACGAGGTTCGGATCATTTTACTTCATGTTGCTATTGCTAGTTCTGGTGTGACCGCACCTGCGGCTGGTTTGCGCAGGTGCAATGGTCACAGAAGCGATGAAGGGGTCGCAGGAGCAGAAATAGTGCTAGGTGAGGAATACCGTAGAAGATGAGATTTGTGCGCATATGCGGATGCGCAGGTGCGAGGTGATGGAGCGCAGGAGCGAGGTATTTTGCAGGTGCGGAAGGTGGCTCGCACCTACGATGTCGCAGAAGTGGATATGTTATCCGCAGGTGCGAGGGTCGAGTCCTCAACTGATTCCGCAGAAGCGGAGGTTATGTCGCAGAAGTGACGCCGCAGAAGCAGCTAATGTGTCGAAGGTGCGAAAATGCTGGAAGAAGCTATAAATCAAGGTTTTGGTTCTTTCTTCATATTTTGAAATGTGGGACTCGGATTGAGGCGATTGTTGGAGCAATTTTCATCACTACGATTGGGGTAAGTATTCTACACTTGGTTTTGATATTATTCCATGAATCTCTCTTCATTTTTGGCAATTGGTTGATGAATTTTAAAGAGAAATTGGGGGTTTTGGCCTAAAGTTTCGTAATGTGAATTTTTGAGTTTTGAACATCGAATTGGAGTCAGATTTGAGTGAAACTATTATGGTTGGACTCGTAATTGAATGAGTTATTGTATTTTGTAAATTTTGTCGGGTTCCGAGGTGTGGTCCCAAGTTGGGCTTTTGGTCGATTTTGGGATTTTGATTCAAGATTTGATCATTGTCGATCGGGATTGGTTCCTTTAGCATTGTTTGATGTATTTGAGTTGATTTTGGTTAGTTTCGAGCCTTTCGGAGGTCATAACGTGCATGATGGCATCTTTGGAGCATTGCTAGGCTTGCTTGGCATTGGTATTGGCTTGTTCGAGGTAAGTAACTCTTCTAATCTTGGAGCTGAGAGTATGAAACCCCGAAATATGTATTATGTGATTAGTGTTGATGTGACACACATGCTAGGTGACGGGTGTGTGGGCGTGCACCATGTGAATTGAGACTCTGTTGTTCCCATGGCACTGTATATTGGTCCTACTTTGTTGATATCCGTGTTTTCACCATGTGATAAAGTAGTTAAGCTGTCAATCATGCTAGATATCATGTTTAGGCATTATGCCGATACTGTTTGGACCCATAATGGTCGTTTCTTACTGTCATCTCACTGATTTCATTGATATTTCATATCAGTCATATCCATGCATTCATACCCTATCTCAGTCTTAGATATTATTTATTGATACATCATATCATTGTTGTCGGGCTAGTTTCATGACATTGTGAGCCCGTGAGTGAGACTGGAGAGATTGATGACTGAGTGAGGCCGAGGGCCTGAGTGAGACTGCCATTTTGGGATTGCGTTGCGCCCCACAGCATGTTATTTTGATTATATTTTATATGGATCGGGTTGCACGCCGCAACGAGCCTGAGGGTAGTATGTATATGGATCGGGTTGCACGCCGCATCGAGCCTTATGCACACTGCAACGAACCTTATGGCTATTTATATATTATCAGATCCGGTTGCATGCCGCAGCGATATAGCGCTTGGGCTGAAGAAGCCCTCCGGAGTCTGCACACCCCTAGTGAGCGCAGTCGACTATATATATGTGGATCGGGTTGCATGCCGCAACGGGCCTTATGGTCATATATGGATCGGGCTGCATGCCGCAGCGGGTATTGTACATTGCTGAGTGATTGAGTGTGCTGAGCATAGTGAGAGGTAATGCGAGACAGTGGGATTGAGTACTCTGAGAGTGTGAGCACATGATTCATCTCTGAGATACATGGCTTTGGCATGCACATATGACATATAGGCATATAGATGCATTTTTTCTCATGTTGTATGGTATCACGTCATTCATGATTTTTTACACACATTGATATGTGGGCATAGAGAGGTATTTCACACTTGCTATCTGGAAAGAAAGTGAAAAATCTTATTTATTGTGGAAGGATATTTGGAAAAATTATTATTTTTGAACTTATTCATATTTTTGGAAACTTTGGCAAACGATTTGGGTTTCCAGTGATGTACTTGAAAGGCAGAACCATTTTCAGAAATCGTGATTTTGCTAAGCATTTTTATTTCTGAGTTACTTCTTGTATTATTTGCTTTAAATTGTTATGGATTGTTGTTGGCTATTGGTGTGGACCCGACCCTGGTACAAGCTCGTCACTACTTTCAACCTAAGGTTAGGTTTGTTGCTTATTGAGTACATGGGGTCGGTTGTACTCATACTACACTTCTGCACCTTGCATGCAGATGTTGGTTGTTGATGTTGCTGTGTTCGATGGGAGCTGGATTGAAGATGTACATGCGTCCCGGTTGTAGCTGCCCCTTGTTCGTGGTAGCTTTAGATCTATAAAACTCTGTTTATGTACTTTTCAAACAGACGATGTATTTATTTCATTTTAGCTTTGTAAATTCTATTCTTAGAAGCTCATGATTTGTACTACCAGTTCTTGGGGAATGTATCAGATTCAGATAATTTCTTTACTTAATTGCTTTATAGATTGTTATTGAAATTGGTTTGTGGTTAATTGGCTTACCTAGCGGGTTGGGTTAGGTGCCATCACGACTAGTTGAATTTTGGATTGTGACATAGGTACATATTGTACTGTTTTTTTAAACATTTTCTTACTCACATCATAAATAATTTCAGCTCATATTTCTATTCTATTTTTTTTATACCTGAAAAGCAGTGAAGTTGAATACATATGCAGTTTGGAATATCCCATCTTTGCGTTAGTTCCGTCTGTAAAACATCATGTTATAGTATAGAATCCTACAAACAGTAAAACAGCTTATTCACCTAAAGCTTATATGAATTTAAGCTGATTGATCTTTTGATAAGTATGTCTACGAAATTCATTCACTTTCAGCAGCAGAACTGGAATTTAAATTGGGGAACTGCTAGAAATTAATAAATTGAAGAGCTCCTATTAATGGCATGCAAGTGGTACAGTTTTCCAAAAGAAAATTTACTTATAATAAGGAGTCCTCGGGTGTGAGCTTTAACTAATGCATCTGCAAGTTTAGAAAAAGATCCAATAGAGTTTTCGGGTAAATGAAAATACCAGGTTAGAGCCCCTTTGGTGAGGGTCTCTTTGAACTTATTGATAAGGACTGATTCAAACTTCTGTTTAGTGAGATCATTCCCCTTGATTCCTGTTGTGATCGCGTATATCTGAGGTTCCATCATACTTTGGAATATTCGGCATCCTAAACTTCTTTGTTATGGATAATGGACAACATTAGGCTTTCATGGTTGTTGGAAGTATTTCTCCACATCATTCCCTTGATCACCGATGGAACACCTAGAATATGGTCTATGAACTCGTTCTCGTTCTTCTCCTTGATCTGTTTTAACAAAGTATCCTGCAAATTTAGTACTATGCGATTCTACATTAGCAGATGTACCTGAACCTCCAGCTACAGTGTGATATGGAAGTTCCCTGGTTATGGAATTTCTCCATAGAGACAATAGGGGTCTGTCCTATCCCCGCTTGTGGATTTGGTATTTCGGTGTTATTATTTTCGGTCAATGCCATCCATACCGCTCCTATATTTTTATTTCAATCTTGTTGCTAAGATGTCAAGGCCTTCATCGTATTCTCCAATTCCTTGGAGTGTTTTTCGGTGGAGTACTTTCTCCTGGAAGAAGATTTGGTGATGAAGTCATACGAAACCGCGTTAGAAAGAAGCAATCCATGTCTACTCAATGGGATTTGATTCTCCCTGTGGTTAACTGGCAACCCCTTATCATCAGTCGGAACTTGGTTTCATGGCCTGAAGGATCAGCTGACCATTATTTGGTGTTTGATTAAGGGGATGGCCATCATTCCCGGACAATGTATAATCCTTTTCAAAAAATAAATTAGTAAGTGAGGATGGTGATAAGCAAGAAAGAAACAGTGGCACTTTTGATAGGTTATAAGTACCTTTGTTTTATATTTTGATGATCTAACAAATTTAATGTCAAGAACCAAATAAGAAACCTGATCCACATTGGTCCACATTCCCAAGCGCATGAAGACAACCAGACTTAAGCTGGAGATGTTCGTCAGTACCTCAAAAGTTAAAGAATCAACAAGGGGAACAAATGGTCTTCAGTTCCCTTGGTGATTGTACCAAGTCATCTCTCCACAAATGGAAAGTGACTGACTGCACATATAACAGTACAACATAGTGCAACAATCAACTCCATTGGGAAGGACCTTGTACCAAAGTTTCTTACATCATTCAAGTGATGTCATTAATGTTATATCAACATTAACCCAAAGACAAAACATCACTTGAACACTTAGAGAATTCACTCAAGCACTTCAACAGTGATTAAGTCTCCAGTCAATAATTCTCAAGTGCATCAAGAACAAAGAACAACACGGCTACGGACCAGTTCCCATATCAAGTTATTGTATGTCCTTAGTTGGGTTGTAACTTTGTTAAAGTTCTCAATTGTAATTCCTACTTAGCTTGTTTAGAAGCATTGTGTAGGAAATTCTCTGTAAATCATAAACTGTTGTGTTTGGGTCTTGGCTAGAGCTAGTTGAGTTGTAAAGTCTTTGTAATAGAGTTATTACAAAGTGGCTTGTAATATATTATTACAAGTTAGTGAGAGATTAAGAGGTTAATTCCTAGGTTACTTAGGTTATAATCTGAAAGTTGCTCAGTAGTGAAGTTGAAATCCTACAAGGGTAGGTCGTGGTTTTTAATCCCATTGAGCTGGGAATTTTCCACGTAAAATTCCTTCTGTCATTTACTTACTGCAGTGTGCGTGATTTCTGTGGGAACTTATAGAGAACCCGGTTCTCTATATAGTTTGGTGGACCCTTAAATTCTATCAATTGGTATCAGAGTAGGTTCTTTCTATCAGGCTAACACCTAGAAAGGATGCTCATGGCTATTCCACCAAACTTTGAAGAAGGTCAGTCTGCCTACAGGCCACCAAGGTTCAATGTCCGGTACTATGGATGGTGGAAGACTTGGATGCATGACTTCATCATGGCTGAAAATTCAGAGCTATGGGATGTTATCTGTGATGGACCCTTTGTTCCTACCAAGAATCTTGGCGACCCAGCTGTAGCCATTCCCAAGACGAGGAAGGAATTGAATGACGCTGATCGAAAGGCCGTAGAAAAGAATTTTCGTGTAAAGAAAATTCTTGTTTGTGGCATTAGTCCTGATGAATACAACAGGATATCGGCAAGTCAGTCAGCCAAGGAAATCTGGGAAGCTCTTCAGATAGATCACGAAGGAATAACACAGGTTAAGCAATCCAAGATCGACATGCTCACAACTGAATACGAGCCTTTCAGGATGAAAGATGATGAATACATCCAAGATATGCATACTAGGTTCACCTCCATCATTAATGAGCTTCACTCTCTTGGTGAAACTATTCCAAGAAATAATCTTGTCAGGAAAATCCTTAGTGTACTGCTCAGTTCTTGGGAAAACAAAGTGAACGCCATTACAGAGGCGAAAGACTTGCAGACACTGACCATAGATGAACTTGTTGGCAATCTAAAAATATATGAAATGAAGAAGAGGAAGGACAATGAAAGAAGAGAATCCCAAAGGGAGAAGAACCTGGTTCTCAAGACAGACAACAATGATTCAAGTAGTGAGGATGGTGATATGGCTTACTTGACATGAAGATTCCAGAAGATGGTTTACAGGAATGGAGGCATTCCAAAAAGGGGAAGTTCTAGCAAGCCAAAACATTATGACCTTTGTCATATATGTGGCAAGCCAGGACACTTCATCAAGGAGTGCCCTCTCCTAAAGCAAGATCAGCACAAAAACAACTTTGACAAAGTAGCTAAGAGGAACTCGGTTCCTTATAAATTCTTCAAGAGAAAGAATGCCGCTGACAATGTTGTAAAGCAAGCTCTTGCTGCAAGGGGAGACTCCTCCAGTGAATCTGAAGAAGAAAATAATCATGGTGATAGTTCAATGATGGCAGTGAAAAGTGAAGCAACAAAGTATGACTCAATCTTTGCCTTGATGGCTCAGTCTGATGATGAATAAGATGACGACGATGATGAGGCAAATAATTTGGATATTCAGAGAAATATGAAATCCTATTCTCCTAAAAAAACTCATGTCTTTGGCAAATGTGTTGATTGATGCTTATCATAGTCTATAAATGATGAAGATACTTTAACTGTGGAGTTAGGAGAAGCAGAACAAACCAGAGATGACTTAGTAATCGTTGTTGTTGATTTAAAGGAAACAATTGAGAACTTTAAGAAAGAGAAGGATGCCTTAGATGAAAAAATTGCACATATAGAACATGAAAGAGATGATCTAAAGGTCATTGTGGTAGACCTAAAAAAAACCTTTGAGTATGTAAGAAAGGAAAAAGAAGCCTTAGCTGAGAGAGTTGCTAACATTAAGCATAAGAGAGATGGCCTATTAGTGGTGGTAGTGGACTTGAAGGAAACAATTGGGGAACCTAAAATAGAGAGTAGGCTTGAAAATTCTCAAAAAGGAAAGGAAGTTTCAAGTGAGGCACACATTAAGATTGAAAGGGAGTTAAATTCAGTGAAGTCTAGTATGTGTGCTGAGCTTGAGAAAAACAAACAACTTCATGAAGAGCTAGGAAGAGTGAAGGGTGACCTTGAAAAATCACTCAAGTGGACCTCGTCCTCTGATGCTATCACTGCCGTGTACACCAACAATGGAGGAAACATGCAGGGGATTGGGTTCCAAAGGGAAAAGATTCTCTACAACCTTCATAGCAAGTACGTTACTGTACCTGATAATTGGCTTTGCACTCACTGTGGCAACACTAGGCACTTTAAAGAAAACTGTAAGGCCAGATTTCAGTCACAACAGAAAAACAAAGTTTTCGCTAAAAAAGTAACTACTGGTAGAGAACGTGGTCCCTCATATAAAAAATGCATGATGCCTGCTTGGACCAGAAGATCCCTCATTCACCCATTTCCTCATTACAAGGGACCCAAACTCGTTTGGGTTCCTAAGTCTAACTCCTGATTTTCTTGTGCAGGTAACAGTGAAAGGAAGAAGCCTACAATGGTACATGGATAGTGGCAGCTTAAAGCATATGACTGGAAGTACAAATGATTTCCTTTCACTTAAAGCCCTGCAAGGAGGGAGTGTATCCTTTAGAAATGGCAAGAAAGGATACAGTCTGGGAGTTGGAAGGATTGGGAAGTCTCTCTCACACTCAATCGAAAATGTGTACTACGTGAACGGGTTGAAGTACAACTTGCTAAATGTTTCCCAGATCTGTGACAAGGGAAACAAGGTGAAATTTGTGTCAAAAAATATGTACAGTCACAAACCTAGTGACTAGTAAGGTGGTGCTAGTAGCAAAAAGATACAAAAATATCTATGTTGCTGATTTTGAGTCTCTGCAGAATGGGGATCTCAACTGTCTAAGTGCTATTGATGATGATGCTGAATTATGGCATAGGAGGCTGGGTCATGTAAGCTTTACATTGCTGAACAAATTGGTTAGGAAGAACCTGGTTCGTGGTCTTCCCAAGTCAAGTTTCAAGGATCACAAAGTGTGTGATGCATGTGTAAAAGGCAAGCATGTCAGATCCTCATTCAAGCCCAAATGGGAAGTCAGTACCTCAAGGACACTTGATCTTCTTCACATGGATCTATGTGGACCCATGAGGGTGGCAAGCAGGGGAGGAAAGAAATATATCTTCGTTATAGTTGACGATTACTCCAGATTCACCTGGACTTTATTTCTCAGAACCAACTGAAGTGTTTATTTCCTTCGTCAAAAGGATTCAAGTGAAAATGGGTAATAATGTAGCTTGCATCACATCTAATCATGGGACAGAGTTCGACAATGCCAAATTTGATGAGTTCTGTACTGAACATGGTATCACTCACAATTATTCAGCTCCAAGAACACCTCGACAAAATAGTATTGTGGAGAGGAAGAATAGAACTCTTAAAGACATGGCAAGGACAATGTTGATTGACAGTGGGATCGCAAAGAATTTCTGGGCAGAAGCTGTCAATACTGCTTGCTACTTGGTGAACAGGTGCATGATCAGGTCCCTTCTGAAGAAGACTCCATATGAACTTCTGAATGGAAGGAAGCCCAAGCTGACACATCTAAGGACTTTTGGGTGTAAATGTTTTGCCCTTAACAATGGAAAGGAAGCTTTTGGAAAATTCGATGCCAAAAGTGATGAAGGAATCTTTCTGGGATACTCACCCCAAAGCAAAGCTTACAAAGTATACAACAAAAGGACTCAATGTGTTGAAGAGAGTATACATATGATCTTTGATGAATCTCACCACTCCCGTGAGAAGGACAGATGTGTTGACCAAGATGGAGAACCTTTATCTGTTCTAGGTGAAGTTATTAACATGGCAAATGGAAAGGCAGACATGATGATTCATGTCAAGGAATCTAGTGAAGATGATACAAATACATCTCCATCCATTGGAGAGGAAACTGGTCCAACGATCACAACAACTGAAGCTGAAAATAGAGTTGCTGATGTAGTCCAAGGTACTCTACTTGCTGAAGTAAGAAGCGGCCAAGAACCTCAATCAGATATACCTGTGTCCTCTACAAATGAGATTCATGTACCAAATTGGAAGCACAAAAGCTCACATCCTCTTGACAACATAATCACCCCTCTTGACTCAGGTGTTCAAACCAGATCAAAAGCCAGAAATTCACTTGCCTTTTCAGACTTTGTTTCCCAAATAGAGCCCAAACATATCAAGGAAGCATTGAAGGATGCAGAATGGATCATAGCCATGCAAGAGGAGCTTCATCAATTTAAAAGAAATAAGGTGTGGCACCTGGTTCCTCGACCCCCAGATCGAACTATCATAGGGACCAAATGGGTATTCAGGAACAAACTTGATGAGTTTGAAAATACAACAAAAAACAAGGCAAGGCTTGTAGTTCAAGGCTACAATCAGGAAGAAGAGATTGATTATGATGAAACATTTGCTCCAGTTGCTCGAATGGAAGCTATCCGAATTCTTATTGCCTTTGCATCTCATATAGAATTCACATTGTTTCAAATGGATGTCAAAAGTGCATTTTGAATGGTTTTCTGAAAGAAGAAATTTATGTCAAGCAGCCTCCTGGATTTGAGTATCATGAGCATCCTGAGCATGTGTATAAGCTGGACAAGGCATTGTATGGACTAAAGCAGGCTCCCCGGGCTTGGTATGAACGGTTATCAAAGTTCCTTCTAGAAAATGGCTTCACAAGAGGAAAAATTGACAACACTCTTTTTCTGAAGAAACGAGAGAAGAACATGCTCATTATTCAAGTATATACTGATGATATCATTTTTGGAGCCACAACTGACTCTCTTTGTGAAGAGTTTGCAAAACTCATGGGGAGCGAGTTTGAGATGAGTATGATGGGAGAATTAAATTTCTTCTTGGGATTTCAAGTGAAGCAATCTAAAAGGGGAACATTAATAAGTCAGCAGAAGTACATCAAGGAGCTGCTGAAAAGGTTTGACATGGAAGCATCTAAAGTTATTGACACTCCCATTGCCACAGCTACGCATCTAGACATGGATGAACCTGGTTCCCCTGTAAATCAGACCATGTATAGAGGCATAATGGGATCACTCATGTATCACACTGCAAGCAGACCAGACATTGTGTTCAGCGTAGGCCTCTGTGCAAGGTTCCAATCAAATCCAAAGGAGTCTCACCTGAAGGCTGCTAAAAGAATATTGAGATATCTTAAAGGAACGCAGGACCTAGTTCTCTACTATCCCTCAGGTGACAATTTTGATCTCATTGGGTATGCTGATGCTGATTATGCAGGATATCTGATGGACAGGAAAAGCACGTCTGGAATGGCACATTTTCTGGGTTCTTGTCTCATCTCATGGGGTACAAGGAAGCAAAACTCTGTGGCACTCTCAACTGCTGAAGCAGAATATGTAGCAGTTGCTTCTTACTGTGCTCAATTGCTGTGGATCAAGCAATAATTGGAGGACTTTGGAGTGTACTCAGATTGTGTACCTCTTTTGTGTGACAATACAAGTGCACTTAACATGTCCAAAAATCCAGTCCAACACAAGAGGACCAAGCGCATTGATGTATGTCATCACTTTCTCAGAGACAATGTTGAAAAAGGGCTCATCTGTATGAAGTTTTGCAGCACTGAGGATCAGATTGCAGACACCTTCACCAAAGCCTTGAGCAGAGAATATTTTGAAAGAAATCACCTGGTACTAGGGTTGATAAAACCCAACTGATGAATCTGGTTCCCCAATGACTGGTTATGAAAGAAATATACAGGTAAAATTAGCTAAAAGTGTTTTCTGTCAAAGTCTAACTCATTTCTATACCGTTACAGGTAGACACGCATGATGATTACCGAGCAGATAATGCAGTGCATACTGGTAAAATGGGTTAAGCTTCCATTTGCAAGACATGTCAGGGTACCTGGTTCTCCTGATAACAGGTTAGTAGCTTCATTATTTTCTCATACACAATTTAGAATGAATAAAAATAATGCCACATCATCAGTATGTCAGTCTCTTTACTTTGCGTCTTTTGAACCAAAACATCTCACTTGTTACTGAATGACCCGACTCCCCAAATAAAACTACCGCCTTTTCTTAACCGGTCCCTCATCTCTCATAAATGCATCTATCAAGGTCAAAACTCCCCACTTCAAACTTCAAACTCTTCAATTCCCCTTCTCTCTTCTCAAACCACTAATCTCTCCAGTAAACTCCATCGTGACTGAGAATCAAGAAAACTCTGATGCTCTCAACAATAACCCCATCGAGTCCACACCAGTCGAAACTCCAATAGTAGACTCCTCAACAAACACCACCACCAGTAAAAACCCTAGAGCGGAGTCTCCCCTACACTTAGTCTCCTCACCTACCCACTCAGGTTCTGGTTCTCATCGGAGTCGCAAAACTTCGACTCCAAAAACGTTTGTGGCTACCAGCTCTTCTCCAGTCTCGCCGATAAAATAGAGTGAACAGGGTGAACATGGTAACCTGGTCCAAGAGGAAAACTAGGAAACATCGAATCTCGCTATGAAAGAAAACTCAAGTGCAAACCAAGAGGCTAGTCCCGACAATGCTGACTCAAGCATGACAGGTCGTGAGTCTACAGGTAACACTCCTCCTTCTGTTGAGATTTCCATGGAACCACCAGAAAAGGAGGCAATAGAAAATATGCTCTTTATAGCTGGTAAAGGGGTTTTTGTTGAGGAAGGTGTAGAGGGGTCTGAGCCTCAGGGGGAAGAGCCTCAGGCCAAAATAGATGGGAGAGAGCTTGTGCTGTTTGAAACTTCGGCACAGGATGATACTACTGCGGTCCCTAATGATGGACCTGATCCCTCCGCGGAGGATCTAGGTCAGGGGTCATCTCCCCTGGTCAGTATTGATCCTGCTCCTTCTCCCCATTTCTATACTGAACCCCTGTCTATAGTGGTGCCTGAGATGCGGTCTGATAGTGAAGAAGATTTGGATGATATGGTGATTGCTAGTTTTTTCAGGGGTAGGATTAAGGCAGTTACAACTCTAGAGCCAACACCTAAGAGACCAACTACACGGTTGCAGAAAAAGGAGGCTCTAGAGTCTGCTCTCAAGAAAAGTCAAAGGAGTCAAAGAAGGAAAATGTTGGTAAATGATGGAAAAGCTGTACATGAAAAGGTCATTCCTGTTGTTAATATAGATGAGAAAGCATAAGAGGAACCTAGTTCCTTGAGTCTCAAGCCCTCGAGGCAGAAGCACTCTCTCTCTCTCAATCCAAAAGAAACACTTCTACAAGTGTTGAGAGTCCAACCAAGAGTGCTGATGTTGTTCCTGGTGAAAAGCTTGTAGATAAATCTGGTGATAAGACAGTGAAAGAGAGTGGTGGAAAGTCTGATGGAGAAGAAGTGGAAAATTCTGGTGAAAATGTGCATGAAAAGTCAGTGGAGAAGGGAAAGTCTATTCGCAAGTCAGTGAAAAGAAAAGTGGATGATGATGAGGAACCCGGTTCCTCCAAGAAATCGAAAGTTGGTAAGTGTCTGAGTTTTGGGAAAGAGAAATTGAGAAATCAGAAGGTGCTGTGGGGCCACACATTCGCCCCTGACATTGTGGAGCTTGCTGGGATGAGACAGTTAGTAGAGATTTGTGATTTCCAATAGTGGACTCATCTGTTTACAAATGATGTTCCAAAAGTATATGAGGAGGAGGTGCAAAGTTTTTATGCCGACCTCTTCACACTTGAAGATGATCACATTTGTGTGTTGGTAAATGAGGTGGACATAGTGATGGACTCTGCCGTGTTAGGGTCAATTCTGGGTGTTCCTGCTGAGCGGTTGTCGTATGTTCAGGGTGCCTGCTCGTCCAATTTCAGAAATGCCATTGTCAAGGACAAGGCAATCCAGCAGGGGGAACAGGTGTATAAAAAGGCACTCCTTCCAGTATATCAGTTGCTTTTTGAGATGGTTAACAAAGTGTTGCTTCCCCGCGCTGAGAGGAGATCTATTACGTCCAAAACTGATGTGGTCCTTATGGAAGCCTTGGATGGTCTTACCACTATCAATCTGCCTGGGATAATGATTGAGCATATGCAAAAAGTGGCCGACTTTAAGGATGGAAACCATAGGCTAACTTATGGGTTTCTTCTCACAAAGGTCTTCGAGTTCTTCAAAGTGCCTCTGGGACAGGCCAAAGTGGGCACTAAAAAGCAAAACTTCTCCAATACCACTCTTGAGTAGTGTGAGTGTATTGACAGGGACAGAGGAGTTGGA